AGGACCTGTCTAGTTGGACCAGCGGACCTACTGCAGTGTTCCTCTTTTCTTATGAGTCCGGTATTGTCCCGCGTCAGGTGTTTCTTTGTTGTGGGAGTTGACTGTGAGGTGTGGTCTAAGCCCTTTAATTGTCTTCCTTTGATGTATTACTTTCATAGTTCCTTGACAATGTGAGTAGTCACAAAAGCGCTTGGAATTTCACTACTCTTTCACAGTGGTTGTTTTGCATATTTTAAAATCACCTGTTTACTGCGATCTTATTGCATATATATATATATATATATATATATATATATATATATATATATATATATATATATATATATATATATATATATATATATATTTATATATATATATATGTATGTATATATGTCGAGCCGAATAGGCAGAACTTGCGATCTTGGCTTAAATAGCAACGCTTATCTTGCCATATAGGACAAGTGAAAATTTGTGTATGCAATAATTTCGCCAAAATCATTCTGAACCTAACGAAAAAAATATATTTCACTGTGTTTCTTTAGTATTAAATTATTGTAAGCAAATCTAAAATATATTTAGTTGGGTTAGGCTAAATTAAATTGCCCTTGTTATAATAAGGTTAGGAAAGTTTTCTAACTAGTTTTTTGTGCAGAATTGCAAATTTTTACAACAACATTAATGAAAAAAATATATCTTTTAACGTATAAGAGAAAATTTTAGAAAGGACTTTATTTTAAATGAGTTCTTGCTAATTGACCAGTTTTACATATTCGGCACGACATATATGTATATATATATATATATATATATATATATATATATATATATATATATATATATATATATATATATTTATATATATATATATATATATATATATATATATATATATATATATATATATATATATTATATATATATATATATTTATTATATATATATATATATATATATATATATATTTTATATATATATATATATATATATATATATATGTTATATATATATATATATGTATATATATATATATATATATATATATGTATATATATATATATATATATATATATATATATATATATATATATATATATATATATATATATATATATATATATATATATATAAATATATATATATATATATGTGTGTGTGTGTGCATCACTGACAACAGCATACAGTGCACGAAGAAAACTGCATAGAACACTAACGAAAATTTCAGAGCAGAAAAATAAAGAGAATTTATTACAGTAAAAAAAATTATTTATTTATTTATTAATTTGAACATGATACAGTGAAGTACAAAGTTATTACAGTGCAACATGCCAAAGCCACTTGTATGCAGAGCTTTATGAGCAGGCTTAAAATTAACTTAAGATTAACTAAGCAATGATATATTCTGTGGTAAAAACATTATTGTAAACAGATAACAATTTAACACAAATGAGTATTACAAAAACAGGTCATGTGGTCATTATCAATGTCTTTCATGGCTATAATATTTTGAAATTTTTCAGGTTGACGTTCCCGCCCTAGGTTTTTTTTTCTACCCCCAGGGTTTTCTTTCCTACCCCCGGGGTTTCTTTTGCTACCCCCAGGTTTACTTTTTCCACCCCAGGTTTACTTTTCCCATCTGGTTTCTTTCCCTTCCCAGGTTTACTTTTTTTACCCAGGTTTTCTTTTTCCCACCCCCCCCTTTTATTTTTGCTACCCCCAGGTTTACTTTTCCTATTGCTAGGTTTACTTTTCCTACACACAGGTTTACTTTTCCTTCCCCCAGGTTTACTTTCCCTTCCCAGGTTTACTTTTCCTACCCCAGGTTTACTTTTCCTATCCCCAGGTTTACTTTTCCTATCCCCAGGTTTACTTTTCCTATCACTAGGTTTACTTTTCCTACTCCAGGTTTACTTGTCCTACCCCCAGGTTTACTTGTCCTACCCCCAGGTTTACTTGTCCTACCCCCAGGTTTACTTTTCCAATCCCAGGTTCACTTTTCCTTCCCCAGGCTTACTTTCCATACACCAGGTTTACCTTTCCTATCCAAGGTTTACTATTCCTACCCCCAGGTTTACTTTTCCTGCCCCCAGGTTTACTTGTCCTACCCCCAGGTTTACTTTTCCTACCCCAGGTTTACTTTTCCTTCCCCAGGTTTACTTTTCCTACCCCCCAGGTTTACTTTTCCAATCCCAGGTTTACTTTTCCTACCCCAGGCTTACTTTCCATACACCAGGTTTACCTTTCCTATCCAAGGTTTACTTTTTCTATCCCCAGGTTTACTTTTTCTACCCCCAGGTTTACTTTTCCTACCCCCAGGTTTACTTTTCCTACCCCAAGGTTTACTTTTCCTACCCCCAGGTTTACTTTTCGTACCCCTAGGTTTACTTTTCCTACCCCAGGTTTACTTTTCCTACCCCAGGTTTACTTTTCCTACCCCAGGTTTACTTTTCCTACCCCAGGTTTACTTTTCCTACCCCAGGTTTTACTTTTTGTCCCCCTAGGTTTACTTTCCTCCCCCAGGTTTCCCTTTTCCTACCCCAGGTTTACTTTTCCTACCCCAGGTTTACTTTTCCTACCCCAGGTTTACTTTTCCTACCCCAGGTTTACTTTTCCTACCCCAGGTTTACTTTTCCTACCCCCAGGTTTACTTTCGTACCCCTAGGTTTAACTTTTCCTACCCAGGTTTACCTTTCCTACCCAGGTTTATTTTTTCCTACCCCAGGTTTACTTTTCCTACCCCAGGTTTTAAACCTTTCCTACCCAGGTTTACTTTTCCTACCCCAGGTTTACTTTTCCTACCCCAGGTTTACCTTTCCTACCCCAGGTTTACTTTTCCTACCCCAGGTTTACTTTTCCTACCCCAGGTTTCCCTTTTCCCTACCCCAGGTTACTTTTCCTACCCCGGTTTACTTTTCCTCCCCCAGGTTTACTTTTCCAAACCCGGGTTACCTTTCCTACCCCGGGTTTACTTTTCCTACCCCGGGTTTTTACTTTTCCTCCCCCAGGTTTACCTTTCCTACCCCAGGTTTTATTTTTCCCTACCCCGGGTTTTACTTTTCTCCCCCAGGTTTACTTTTCCTACCCAGGTTATTTTTCCCTACCCCAGGTTTACTTTTCCTACCCCAGGTTTACTTTTCCTACCCCAGGTTTATTTTTCCCTTTACCCCAGGTTTACTTTTCCTCCCCCAAAGGTTTACTTTTCCTACCCCAGGTTTATTTTTCCTACCCCAGTTTACTTTTCCTACCCCAGGTTTACCTTTCCTACCCCAGGTTTACTTTTCCTACCCCAGGTTTATTTTTCCCTACCCCAGGTTTACTTTTCCAAACCCCAGGTTTACTTTTCCTACCCCAGGTTTACTTTTCCTACCCAGGTTTACTTTTCCTCCCCCCGGGTTTTACTTTTCCTACCCCAGGTTTATTTTCTCCCCCAGGTTTACTTTTCCTACCCCAGGTTTACTTTTCCTACCCAGGTTTACTTTCCTACCCTAGGTTTACTTTCCTACCCCAGGTTTATTTTTCCTTTACCCCAGGTTTACTTTTCCTACCCAGGTTTACTTTTCCTACCCCAGGTTTTACTTTTCCTACCCCAGGTTTATTTTTCCCCTACCCCAGGTTTACCTTTCCTACCCCAGGTTTACTTTTCCTACCCCAGGTTTACTTTTCCTACCCCAGGTTTACCTTTCCTACCCCAGGTTTACTTTTCCTACCCCAGGTTTACTTTTCCTACCCCAGGTTTACTTTTCCTACCCCAGGTTTACTTTTCCTACCCCAGGTTTACTTTTCCTACCCCAGGTTTACTTTTCCTACCCCCAGGTTTACTTTTCCTACCCCAGGTTTACTTTTCCTACCCCTAGGTTTACTTTTCCTACCCCGGTTTACTTTTCCTACCCCAGGTTTACTTTTCCTCCCCCAGGTTTACCTTTCCTACCCAGGTTTACTTTTCCTCCCCCAGGTTTACTTTTCCTACCCAGGTTTACTTTTCCTACCCGGGTTTTACTTTTCCTACCCAGGTTTACTTTTCCTACCCCAGGTTTACTTTTCCTACCCCCAGGTTTACTTTTCCTACCCCAGGTTTACTTTTCCTACCCCTAGGTTTACTTTTCCTACCCCAGGTTTACTTTTCCTACCCCAGGTTTACTTTTCCTACCCCAGGTTTACTTTTCCTACCCCAGGTTTACTTTTCCTACCCCCAGGTTTACTTTTCCTACCCCAGGTTTACTTTTCCTACCCCCAGGTTTACTTTTCCTACCCCAGGTTTACTTTTCCTACCCCCAGGTTTACTTTTCCTACCCCAGGTTTACTTTTCCTACCCCCAGGTTTACTTTTCCTACCCCAAAGGGTTTACTTTTTCCTACCCCGGGTTTTTACTTTTCCTACCCCAGGTTTACTTTTCCTTCCCCCAGGTTTACTTTTCCTACCCCAGGTTTACTTTTCCTACCCCAGGTTTACTTTTCCTACCCCAGATTTACCTTTCCTACCCCAGGTTTACCTTTCTTACCCCAGGTTTACCTTTCCTACCCCAGGTTTACCTTTCCTACCCCAGGTTTACCTTTCCTACCCCAGGTTTACCTTTCCTACCCTCCACGGTGAAGAACCACTGTTTTATCTCATCTGTTGGAACTATTAAGAGTTATTACAAAAAAATATTAGAATATCCAGTGATCCAAAATTTATCTTCATTTCTGTTCTAAGTATCAAGTTATTACTTATAATAATGTAATTTTACTTATATGTCTTATCTTCTAAATTACTCTTAACATTTAAGTAATCTCTTGAATGTTCTATAAATTATTTTAATATAAGTTTGTTCTTAATTCCTCACGAAATCCATCACAAAACTGCTTTTCCTTGAACTTTTTACAATTTAATTTTACATAATTAATTGTTATAAATTAAATAATTTATTCTATATGTAATGTAATGAGGTACAATAAATTAGATTAATTAATACGTATCATATAATGTAAGTTGTTTATTTAATTATACATATTAAACTATTAATTTTTTATTTCATTGTCCAGTCTTTAGAGGATTTAAAACAAGAGTTTGAGGAGACATTAGTGGAAAGATCAGGAGAGGTGAACCACACCTTAGAGCGCATCCAGCAGTTTGTTACAGAGTTGGAAGAGCTGTCTGATGTCTCCCACGTTAATAAATACATCAGGGTGAGTCACTTGACGTAAGTTTTTGTTTTATAGTGATTCATCATTCATTCAACAGCTTTCTTGCCACAAGTGCAATGGCATCACAGTTCACATTACTCTCCAAACTGTATTATCCTCATTCATCCTTCTAATGTAGGTATCCTCTGTACTTCCCAACTTCAGAACTGAAATATCCAAACAATCCGTCGAAGTGCAATTAGTTCTCCTTCCACCTTCAGAGCTATAACATCCCCACCCATCCCTCTGAGTGCAGGCACTGTACATCCCATCTCTGGAACTACAAAATATCCGCCAGTCTTTCAGAGTGCAGGAAATGGTCATCCAGAGAAATAACACTGCAAAATTCCCAGCCATTCTTCAGTAAGTTGGTACTATACTTTCCACTTCTGGAACTGCAATATGCCCATCCCTTGGTTAGAGTGCAGCCTCAGTACGTACTACCTGTAATTCCCACCTCCAGAACTGTTACATCTCTATGCTTATAAAAGAATGCAGGCACTGTACTTCTCACCTCCAGGACTGCAACATTCCATCCCATCCTTCAAGGTTCAGGCACTGTTCTTCCAACCGTCAGAACTCAAATCTGTCTAGTAGGTTTCCTCGAATCCCACCATAAATATTACTTTGTTCTCACTTCAAGGGCACCTCGGACAATTATGCATTTGTTCACTTATTTAATACAGAAGTCAATCTTAAAACCAATTACCACACTATACAGCAAGCCGCTGCCGGGTGAAAAGAATAAACTCTATGCTTTTGTGCTGCTACCTGTGGGTCATCGAAAGCTATGAAATGTTGCAATAAGGTGGAGACCTGAGAAAATTCAGGGAAATGGAGCCAATGTAGCTATTATTTTAACGTGACAGAAGTTAGTTTCTTTTTGACAATGAGTTAAAGGTACTCAGGACAGATTTGTGGCACCGGCCCTTATTTTAATCCTCATAATGAAATTAAGGCACATGTGCAACATCAGGGTATTCCAGGACATAACTTGAAGACAGTTGAACTATGTACAGAAGATGAGGTAATCAGTCCCTCAACCTTGGAGTTGGTGTGAAGAGAACCGTAGTCATGGAGATTCTGAAGCAGAAGCAAGGCGCTTGACGCTTATTTTCTAACGTCAGGTGGAAATGGGACGTGTAGCAGACGAAGGCATAGTCACTGGTAGGCGGGATTCCCCAGTGGAAGTAGGTCCTACCCAAAGAGATGGGTTAGTTGTAGTAGTAGTTGTTGTAGTCGTGAAGGTTATGTACATGTCCTTAGTATCAAGATTCCAACGCAGGCACTCCTTACCCGGCACAGCCGCTTTTCAGGCTCAACTGGCACCTCACCAGCAGATCCCAGCTACAATAAAGAAATCCAACCTTCAGCAGTCCCTACAGACCACAGCAACCCAGGTAATATCCACTGTTTCGAACCCAATGCCAAAGCAGGCCCTCACCAGCGAGGATCTCGTAGCACTCATCAAGGTGTTTGCAGATCTTATTTGCAACACAATGAACTCCACGGAACAACAGAGCTTATTCCGGCAGATGGTCAGTACGCTCCTGAGAGTGTGCTTACTGACCGAGGAGGAGACGGTGGGCGGCATGAATTTGCAGGTTCTCAGAGCGGGCAGGGCTCAGTCTCCAGCTTAGGAAACAACAGCGATGGAATAACTTCGGTACCAAATCACACCCTCAAGGTCCTACATTGGAACATTCAAGGCCTGAGGGGCAAACAGCACCTCTTGCTGGAGGCAGTAATTCAGGATCGGGTTGACATCCTCTTGCTACAGAAAACTCTGACTGTCCCGACTGTGTGCCCAAGACTACCCAGTTTTGCTGGGTATTTTCGACACATGGACGAGGGCGTTCACTGCAAAGGCACAGCTGTATTTGTATCTGATACAATACCGCACGAGGTTATAGCCAACCCTGTGGACTGTGGGGAAGATGTCGAGGTACAGGCCATCCTTGCACACATACCTGGGGCGCCCATTACCATCTATAACATCTACAAGGACCCAAGACACACCCTCGACATTGCAGAGCTACTAGCGCTAGCACGCACTGAGTGTATTATTGTGGGTGGAGATTTCAACGCACATCACCCAATGCTGCACTCTCACTCAACAACCAATGCTGCTGGCAGACACATAGCAATGCTTTTACATGATGTTCCAGAGGTAAAGTTGCTAAACAATGGAGACCCCACACACCTGTTGGGTGGCTGTCTCGACCTTACCTTCGGGACAAGACAACTCACAGCAGGAGCCACATAGGAAACTCATTCTCACCTTTTCAGTGACCGTTTTTCAGTGATCACCGCCTTCAGCATCAACAGGCCTCCCACAGTTGTGCTGCCTCCTAGATGGGACGTAAAGAGGGCCAACTGAAAGGTGTTCCAGGATTATCTACATGACTGTTGGTCCACATGCACTCTATCCGAGGACTGTGATACAACTGAACAGGAACTAATCAGAGTGCGCAATTCCAAAGAAGTCCACAGGATGCACTCACAAAAGAGACTGGTGGTTCTACAACGACGAGGTGCGGGAGCAGAACCACCGCATCAACTCTTTTAGGAAGCTATACAGGCGTAACCCTACTGCAGAGAACAGGAATACTCTGAGAGCCATTGTGTAGCATGCCCGCAGTCTCTCTCAGAGTAAAAACTGAGAAATGGCTGGAGTGGTGCTCAACATTCGGGCATCACACCACCTTATCTGAGATATGGGGCAAGCTCAACATAGCAACTGGCAAGAGCAAGCCGAGGCCACCAGCACACCCGAACCCATCCCAGGAAGCTGAGAAACTAGTGGAGCTTTTCACTTCTAGGGGAGCCTCCACTCAATTCCCACAGGACATCCGGAATATACAGACGGATCTTTTGCCACAACGCCAGTTAACGATACAAGCTGCATGTGAGTCGGAAAATGTGACTGATGAAGACCTCACGGACTTGGAACTCCGACGTGCCATTAAGAACACAGGTGACACTGCCCCGGGCATCGATTGTGTTACGTACTCCATGATTGCACGGGCTGGGCAGAGTGGATGGGAGGCCATACTAGACGTCATAAACAAGTCGTGGAGGGCCGGGACACTCCCAGCAGCTTGGAAGAAGGCTACCATTGTACAAATTCCAAAGCCCAAGGACCCAGGCAGTATGAAACCCATATCGCTGACCAGCTGTTTAGCCAAGACTGCTGAGAGGATGGTGTTAAACCGCCTCCTATGGAGACTTGGAGCCCCTCATCATCACATATTTGGCTTCACCAAAGGAGTGGGTACAGCAGAGTGCATAACCACCCTACTAAGCCAGATTGCTGATATAGCAACAAAAAGCCTAGTATCGTCGTCTACCTCGACCTTGAGAAGGCATTTGAGCTAGCCAGTCCCACAGCAGTCCTAGCAATACTAGCTCGGAAGGGGATCAAAGGACGCCTCCTGGCCTGGATAGAGTCCTACCCTAGGGGCAGGCAGGCCTGTGTCAGCTTTCAGGGACACTACTCTTCCTTTACAACCCTGGAAAACGGCACACCACAAGGAGGCGTGCTCATTCCTACCCTGTTTAACGTCCTTATGCAGGAACTTGTGAGCTTTCCCTTTCACAGTGGTACGCAGCTACTCAGTTATGCTGATGATATTGCACTGATAGTGAATGGGAAAGGCAATTTGGAGAGACAGGCTCAGAGAGCTTTGGACCTAATTACACAGTCTTGCAAGGAACTAGGCCTCAAGATCTCGGCTGAGAAATCTCTTACAATGATGTTCAAGGGACCAGATCCTGTGAATAGATTACGTATTCAGGATGCAGAACTTGAGTGGACAGGCTCCTACCTATACTTGGGAATCTACATTGATAAAAAGCTGACCTTTCAGAAACAGGCCGAGTATGTCAGGTCACGTGCTCTACTCAGACTCAATGCCATGAGAGCCATGACGAGGCGCCGTGCAGGGGCAAGCAAAGATGTACTTCGCTGTACTATATACAAGCTATATGCTCACTCATTGACTATGGTGCACCAGCGTTAGCTCATCTCTTCCCGCAGAGCAGGCAAAGGGTGGAGGTCGTACAAAACCAGGCGATAAGAACTATGCTTGGGGCCCCCATCTGGACCAACACAGCATGTCTCAGATCTGAGGCCCGGCTTCCTTCCTTGGCTGACAGAGTAAGATTCATAAACGCCTGCAAAGTAGCCACGATTGTGCATCTACAGCAAGGTACCCCACTAAGAAGACGGATATTGACAACCATGACACAAGATCCAACTCTCTTCACGGACTACTCCTGGATCCGTTCCTTTTGTGCTGCTGGGCGGAAGCTGCTGCCTATACAACTACTCCTTGAGAAGAGTTGTGACGTTCCTGTTGCTGGATATCATCCACCACCTCCCTGGCGCCCAGATCCGGCCGATGTTTGCGTCATGCAACTGCCTAACTCTAAGCGTCTCAGCAGTCAAGACACCCTCAGCAATCATGCTGAAACAAGCATGGTACTGGCAGAGGGACGCACATGTGCAGTGTATTTCACAGATGGTTCTGTCGACCCTGACAGGAAAAGAGCAGCAGCTGGACTGCACCACAATGGTCACACGCAAGGCTGGCGACTCCCTGACCACTGTACGATCCTTCAAGCTGAGCTGGTGGCGATTCATCACGCATTGTCACACGCCCTACGACATCGACTCCGACCTGTCATACACATTGACTCCACCTCTGCAATCAATATCCTCTCCCATCGTCAACCACAGGACAATGTTCACCTCATCACATCGATCCTGAGCATAATGACAGCCTTAGAGGTTCAGGGTAACAGATCGACATTGAACTGGATCCCCAGCCATGCTGGCATCCGGGGAAATGAGGCAGCAGATGATGCAGCCAAGGCAGCCACAGAATATCCACATGTTGGGATTACTGTCCCCATCAGCCTATGACAGACCAAACTGATGGCTGCCAGAGCAATGAAGCTTATGGAAGAGGTTTTAGGTGATACCCCATCTCAACAGTGGT